TCCTCCGATGACTCGGGCTGCTCTGCCCCCCCCCCTTTTTTTTTTGCTGGCTGTGGAGAGGAATCTATAATATCGGTCCCTGACCTTGCTGCCATATCAGGCTCTATGATAGAGGGGGAGATGGATAGGGGTGGAGAAGACGCGGGTGGGGCAGCTGTAAGTGTACTTAAACGTTCCAGCACCACAGCCAACTGTTGCTTTAACTCTTGATTCTCTCGCATTACACGTTCGATAGTCTTCTGAGTTTTAGAATTTGCTTTAGCGTCAGAGAGCATACAACAGGAGCAGGAGGCATGCTTTGCCCAGTTCACCTTTCCGGGTTTGGTGCTAAAGTCGCGGCTTTGTGATGCACTTCGTCCAGGGCTTTTGCTTTTGCTGCCACGGTTTCGTCCAGGACTCCTGCTTCTGTTGCTACGGTTTCGTCCAGGACTCTTGCTTCTGCTGCTACAATTTCTATCGTCGATGCTTGAAAAAACTCCTTCTCGAGCTGGAACTCGGGCTGCTCCTGCTGGTTGTCTTGTTGCGGCCTTTGTCGTGGCCAAGAGAGACGGCTGAAGCCACGCTGAAAGCGTTGCTTGCATGCCCTGTCACCCGTCTTGTGAGAGTCCCCACAGATAACGCACTGCGGAGTGCAGGCATAGTTTGGTTTGGTTTGCTTTATTCAAGGCAAAATTGAACAAGATTGCCTTGGGGGACACGACTAAAGGCTAAGTAAAAGCCTGACTTGGTCGTGCCACCCTGGCAGCAAAGCAGAAACATACCGCAAGTACAGTACGCAGTAAATTACAACATCACGTGTTATCTTACACGGGTACCATAGTCGAACAGGAACTGCTAGAAGTGTGAATAAAAGAATAGAAATATAAACAGTCCTTATTCGAGTGGTGGAAAATACAAACAAATGCATGTTTTCTATCAAATAAATTAACAATAGTCCTCCGGGTGTTTCTGTCAGCAGCTTGAGCAAGTGAGGCGATTTGGCAAAGGACATACATCTCGTCGGTGGCCGACTTGTCTGTAGTTTAGGCACGCTTCCACCTTCGGTCGAAAGTTGAAAACGGCGTAGAGGATGCCAAACATTTTTACTGACGGAGGAAGCTCCTCAGCCATGAAGTGAATGAGCACTGAGCGTGAGGTACGACCCATGCCCCTTGCTTGGACTATTGGTAGAAGGGGATTCGCCCGACGTAATTCTTGAAGCAAGTCCTGAGGTGATTCACCATTCCAAGCGCGGTAGATGATCCTTGCCCGTGCCCCGTCCGGGGGAGCTATGTACGCATGAAATCCCAGTTTTTTTACCACGTAACGTGAGTTCTCGTATTTTTGCATAGTTGGCAACTCGGTCGGCGCAAGATGTAAACACGGTGAAAATATTCTTGGCCAGATTGGTGCACACAAGATCTTCGTCGGCAACCACAGAGTGCAGTCCGCTGTTGGCGACTACAGCCGCTCGTAACTCTCCATCGTTGTATTGGGCCAGATCAACGCCCGCACTCGGACGAAAGACAATCTTGAAGTCATCGACTGGCAACCGTGGCAGTCGTTTTAAGCGAGGACGCGCCACAGCTGTGTGGTCGAGCTTTGAGAAAACGCTGGGCGGTGATTCCGTTTTGCGTGCTGGCGTTTCGGCAGCTGACGCCGCTTTACTCGACTGCGTTCCTTCAGTTTCTTTTGACTGCTGTCGAGGTGAGCATTGTCGGGCATTCAGGACTACACTCCATTCTTCTGGGTTAAATTCTGTGGCAGGTAAATCCGTGCCACTCACCATGTACGTCATTGCGTTGCCGAATGAACTTGTGCACGCACGTCGAAGCGCGAGCCGGGCGCCGGTACCGGTGGCGTTAGGGCTGACGAGGCGGCGTTCCCCCGCTCAGCAAGAGTTGAAGTTTGCAAAGCTCCTCAAGAATAAAGAGGTTTGAGGCACTCACAAGCAGCGTCGGCAACTTGCTGAAGTTCAAGAGAGACCACTGTTGGCAACAAAAAAGCAGTCTTGGTTCAACAAAAACTTCGTAGAATATGGAGCCCATGCGAGGCACACCAGCCTTGCCTGGCCCCCTATCGTAAACCCCGTCTCCGCAGAAGCTCTCAAAATTTTGAGAAAGAGGCGAACTCCGCTTCCTTACATTTGCGTGGTATGGGTGCCGGGGGACGAGGGGCTCGAGGGAAATGAAGCGGCTCACGCCACGGCCCGCGGTCACGTCAACCGGGCCTTCCTCAGCGCCTCGCTTGACCCGTGGTTTGCCAGCGCTGCAGAAGTAGTGGAGACCGTACAACCGACATACAACGCCATCCTACAACACTATCGTCTAGCTCGCAGGGTGTACCCGCCACCTCACCCCAAGCTGACTAAAGAGGAGGCCGCAGCATTTCGGAGACTTCAAGCTAACACATATACACACTGCACCCTACTGCATAGAGTCTACCCAACGCTATACGCCTACAACAGGCCGATATGCGACGTGCCAGACACACTGGCCCACCTACTAGTCGAGTGACCGTGGCGCCACGAAGATGCCAATACCAAGCCCGCAACGACTGCACGTATCGGCCCCCTAGACGACACATGGGAGGCCAAGATTGCCGCACGTGACCTAGACGACCAACGAGGACTTGTCGCCAGGGCCCGGGGGGCGATTGCGGCCAGAGAATTCCTGGAATAAGGGACCCTCCCACCTAGGATGACTTCGTGCTCACAAACTCGGGCACACTGTTTCGAAAAATAAATGTTTATTTCACCATCATCATCATTCCCATTATCATCAAGGTACAGCCTGCAGATGTTCTCAAATCGGATTTATGAGACGCTTTTTTCTTGGGGGCCAGCGTGATCTAAAGTACTGTTAAGTTTGGCCTGGAAATTCGTCTGGGCAGACGCCATTGTGCGCAAGTCGGTCCACTGGGAAGGCTCTCAATCCCTTCGGCGCCCAGTATGACAGACGCTGTCGAAGATTTGAGCAATTATCCAGACCATGCGGCAAGCAAAGGCGAGTTCCCGTCTTTCAAATGCGGACCCTTTTGTCGTCTCTTCGAGCAGAAGCGGTGACTGATGCCCTCAGCGACTCATCGGGCGACGGAGGAAGCTGGCGTGACCGGCACTAGAGCTGACAGGAGAGCGGCGCTCCTTTTAATCCCCAATCAAGTAGACGACCGGCCGGCTGCCTGTGCCCGCCAGACATTGTCCCTGCTAGCCGGAGGATGAGACGTCGTGTCGCCACGACGAGGGAGGACATCAAAGAAAGCATCTTCCTGGAAAAGACCGCGGCGGCCACCGAAGATCGCCCCGCTAATTGGGCGATCTGTGCGGCGGACCCTTTGAAGTATGCTGCCAGGATCGTGGGAACTCTCGACTAGCGGCACACACACGACGAGGAAGAGCCCTGCTGGCGCCACCTTGCAGTACAGCGTTCACGTGGACCATGCATGCTCGTCCCCCTCACCTGTGTATGTGTGATTGGTGTTCCACTCGGAGAGGAGGAGCCCGACAGGGCATAAAACGACGCCGCAGAGTGCTGGACGTCGCTCTGAACTGTGTAGCGTTCAACCACCACGCTCGTGGTTTGTGAAACCACTAACTTTTCCTTTCTGTAAATATGTGTAAATAGTACCATAAACATGTTTTGTTTTTCGTATCCTCCAGCGTCCTTCCTTCCGAACTTTAACAACTGGTGGCAGCGGTGGGATGCCATCAGCAGCGAACTTCCTCCTTCCTCCGACCCACAACAGTACACATTTTGCGATTATCATCATACACAATATGCACTGCTCTCCTTGCCAACATAAATCCTTTTTGCGTCATAGATGAGCTCTCCAAAACACAAACTGAGAACGAGGGCGTAAACAATTAGTGAACCAACCTTGGAAAAACACAGTGAACATAGTAAACGAACGCTCGGGGCTCAGGTGAGCATGGTGAGTAAATGCTCTTGCTGAGAAGCCGTGCACTTGCTAACGAGGTATCTCACGTAGCTCAGGGGTTGTGCATCTGACCCCAGAGCTACGTTGGTGCTTGTGACTTGTTGGCAAACTTGCCTTCGTCAGGCTTGATGTCGGGAAATAAATCGCGTTAATACGACTTAAAAATCGTTTTAAAGAAAGCGAAAGAACAACCAGTCGTCGCACAATGCGAATATCGTAACGAGTGGGCCGTCCAATGCTCCAACCCGCAAGAATGTACTTTCGAGAGTGCATAGCGAAATTTGTGGAACTTACGAATACACAGGAGTCTGTTCCTGAGTGGTTGTCGAGGGGCGGAACCCCTGACAGCTCTCAAGGAATTTTAAAGCTAGTTTCTGTTTAGTAGGACTGTCATCACTTCTTTTCGCGACCTTTACGACATCGTTCATGTACATGATGCCTGGAAACAGGCAATAAAGCAAAAGAAAAGGGGGGGGGGGGCGTAGCTCAGGGGTGGAATATTTAATTTTACGCACGATGTGGTACGGACACCGGCGGCGGCAGCGGCGGTGTCCCGAGTTGTGATCTCATAACAGTTTTCGCTGTAAAAACGAGAGGCGAAAAGTCAAACGGGCGCGAACTCACAACTCAGTTTATTGAAGGAGTTATCTTTTCTAGTAGTTCCTTCAAATAACTGAGTTGTCGCGCCCGTTTAAGTTCTCACCTCTCGTTTTTTCGTCTATTGTGTGCGCGCCGAAACGTTTCCAAGGATGTTCCTCACTGCGATCACACACGCCGCAAAGCAGTGAAGCACTATCGCTGAAATGCTGCACGACTGCTGTTTAACAATGATGTCAAAGTTGATACGCTGGATCTGAACTTAGTAAAGCACCACCAGGTTTCATCAACGTATTCTTTTACGTATTGTTAAGTAACAATACGTAAAAAAATTCATCTTCAAGTTTGCGAAATAGCTCACTGACACTGTGATTAATCTCTCTCCCTCTTTTAAAAGAAAGAAAAAAAGGGGCATGGATATGTACACAGAAGAAAATGCGCGCATTCTACAGCAGTGAATTAGGAAGGAAACGAAAACATCGACTCACAGACTCCTAAGTGAACGACGCAGTATCGCCTCAACACGAGTGCAATGCGGTGTTGAGCCGCCACCGGAAGCGAGTGAGTTTGCGTCACTTCCCGCGAACAAATGAAAATGGTGGTGACGGAACCCTCTTTCCGCTTGGCTTCCTGCCGGCGGAATGCATGATCGCCTTTCTGATAGAGCGCACTTCACGGCACTTATTGTGCAGTATACAGAGTCGCCGAAATTGAAATTACGTTGAAATTATTCACGGCTGGTGTGTCGAATAAGTCTGTTAGATTCACATGTGTGCATGTAGAACTTCATACATTTTTCGTCCGAATGTCACAAGTCCAAAATGTGAACCATACACTGGAAGCAAATGGCAGACCAAGTTTTCGTATTACTATTACAACTGCGTTCACTTTCTGAGGGAGGAAAAACGTCGGCAGTACCTCATTGCAAGAGGAGTATGAAGGATAGATCACCAGGCCAGTTCTGGGGATGCATAAATTTTGAATTGGCATTCTTTAAAACTTCGTTTGGGCCTAGCTGGTACATGATACTGAAGCAAAAGTAACAGCGTAAGACGTTCCCGCAAAAGACACGACACACATGAGCGCTGAATATCACAGTCTTGCCATTGCTGCTTCTGTCTCCCTTGTTTCACACCATTTTTGGCTCCAAGGGTGTTGAATGTGCCGAAAACCTGGCGATGAAGCAACACTTGGAGTAAGTAATGATAAAAACCATACTTTCTAAATCTGGCTGCAGTGACGAACGCCGTAACTGGAAAAGAAAAAAAGAAAGAGAGCAAAGACTGGGCCTGCAAGGGAGTCCTTTGTCCACAACTTCATTCAGTACTATCCCTTCGTGACCTGGGACCCAAATTCACCGCAGGTTTCGCAAATGGTAAGGGAAAAAGTAGCGCAATAATCTCCGAGAGTGCGGTTTAGCTGCAGCTGTGAACTTCAGAACACAACGATAATGCATGTGTTACTATAGTCCTAAGAATTGAGCCAGAAATATCGGTACATGATCAGGGAATCTTACAGCAAGTTGCCACCCTAGTTGTGTGGAAACACAGTGGCCTTTTACTAAGAAAAAAAAAGCCCCGACATTGCTTCAGGTCTTTTTTTTTCCCAAGTGTCGTAGCTAGTTTTATTCGTTGGTGGGCTAATTGATCGTTAGTAATTTCGCGCAATAGACCGCGGTGCATCCGCCATTAAGTGGGTCATTTAGGTAGGAAAACAGTTTTATAGATTCCTGAAAGAATCATGTGAAGGATTGTACGGGGGGGAGGTGGTACCTTTCAAGAAATGAGGTGGTTTATCTTCCATGCCGGGCCGTTAAGACAACCTCCTCTGCTTCGAGGTGCATTGATTTCACTTGTCTCCCATGATAAATAATATGCCGTCTTGGAGCGAGAGAAGGGTACTAAACTCGAGAAAAAAAAGCACAAAAGGACGGACAAGAAAGCCGGCATCTTATTTTCTTCATTCGAGTTTTGCCGTACAGTATTAGGTGTTTGAGTAGGTATACTAAAATGCCCAAGAAGATGCAATTCTAGAGGAAAACCACGATATAAAATCAACTAGGTCACAAATAAAACGGATTGGATGCGGCTACGTTGGCTGTTTCGGCCACGACTGTTGAAGCAACGCTGATTTAATAGATCTGGCTCAACTACTCACCCAACAAACTACACATGAGCCACACATACCCTGTCCTGTCAATAAATCGATTGTTAGTGCAGCGCAGCTCTCCTCAGTTTGCGTCCGTGTCGTCATTAGCGCTACGCCGTATAACGATCCGTAACCTACGAGCCCAAGTTGTCACCTTCACAAGCTTTGTGGTGACACCAGCAACTACGTCCGGTCAAGAACTTTCGTACTGCGAGCGCGAACCTGTATATTCGGCCCAAGGCAAATACCAAAGCTGTTCCTCTATTTCGTGATATGAAAATTTGCAGACTGTTTGCTATTAGTGACCAAACTTTCCTACAAATCTGTCGCTAAAATACAGAAAATGCGGCAGTACCCAGATGTTACAGGAGTGTTCAGTCAAACCTTTTTAACCCACTTGTCACTGATGACCCTTGTGAAAGTCCGAAGTGGCTGCTTTTATTGCAAGAAACCGCCTCGGCAGTGCAGTGGTGACCCTAAGGCGCGGCATCGAATCCCGGAGGCGAAGTGCTCCTGCAGGCCCGCCTACTTGGTTAAGGAACACCGGGTGGTTTCCGGCGTCCCTCATAATTTTACCGCGGTTTAGAACCCCAACAACTATTGTATTCCAGAGATCTCTTGTATTAAATCTGTTTTTTCGGCTGAGATCCACACGCTGTCCCGATGCCTCTTGTTTAGAAAAAAAAAATGGCGATAGTGCTATCTAGAATTAGCTACAGATATAATTTCACGTTTTTGCTATTTGTGTTAAACTACTTTCTTTACACAACGAGCGGTATGCCCATGAAAGGCCTCGCCGCGGTGGTCTAGTGGCTAATAAGGTACTCGGATGCTGACCCGCAGGTCGTGGAATCGAATCCCGGCTGCGGCGGCTGCATTTTTGATGGAGGAGAAATTAACCCGTGTGCGCAGATGTGGGTTCACATCAAAGAACCCCAGGTGGTCAAAATTTCCGGAGTCCTCCACTACGGTGTCTCTCATAATCATATGGTGGTTTTGAGACGTTAAACCCCACATATCAATAAATCAGACATGCCATATGAAATGAAAATTCGTTCTTGCATTACCCCCGTTATATGTTGCGAGTTTTATCATCTGAGAGAAAGAGGGCGGGACGGGTATCTACTCAAAGGTCGGCCTGAGCGATAGTCTGCGGTGCACCGTCGGAGAAGAAAGCAGAGGAGCAAGAGCAACAAATGACTATGGTTAGTCAGGGAGGTGATCACATTATTATTCATTATTGTTTATTGATACTGTCGATCCCATGAGGAAGAGCATATTTGAGTTGTTACAATATAAAAATACAAATAGAAGACTTTCAATAACACGAAAGCAAATATTGACAATTAGCAAAAGGTAAACAAGGAAACTTAATAGTACATCTTATTACGAAAAATAAAAGGTGATCAAACAGGCATACAAAAGAGAAAACTGAGCCCCGCCACGGTGGTCTAGTGGCTAAGGTACTCGGCTGCTGACCCGCAGGTCGCGGGATCAAATCCCGGCTGTGGCGGCTGCATTTCCGATGGGGGCGGAAATGGTGTAGGCCCGTGTACTCAGATTTGGGTGCACGTTAAAGAACCCCAGGTGGTCGAAATTTCCGGAGCCCTCCACTACGGCGTCTCTCATAATCATATGGTGGTTTTGGGACGTTAAACCCCACATATCAATCAATTATGCGAAGTGAGAAAGAGAGAGAAATAACATTTATTTATACATCCAGCGTGTAGGAAGTCCCCGGCCTCGCAGGGCGCGGATGTTCCCTATCTTAAGATTACGGCTATTAGAGTCCGATAATCTAGACCTCGAGGATGTTGTGCTCCGACTCGGCGACAATTACTCGGGTGCCTCCGCGCCGGTTAGACGGGTCGTCGGCTCCCGAGTATGCGGAGTGAGGTGGCTCATGGAAATAGGTGACGCTAGATGAAACAGCGAAGTTCATTGGCCATCTCACTTATAGAGGGATTATTCACATCACGGGTTCCCATCTAGGTTGGAATACTTAGAGACTCTTATCGCAAGGCAAAAATTTCACTGGAAAGAGTGTACGAGTACACTTGTGTTTCACGAAAAAACATGCAATACTTCACCACATGGCACGAGCTACGAAGCAACACTTCGGTTTTGATTTTCTGTGTGTATATAAAGAGAAACAGTGTGTACAACATTAATTATTTTTGTACTGTTCCTGGCCTTTTATTCACAAAATATATATTCTGAATGTTCTTTGTTTTGAACATTTTTGCATATCTAGTGTTTTTTATTCCACTCTTTACCAGCTGGTGACGAAACATTTTACACTTCGCACATTTTTATTCATTCTTAAATATTTTTTTTGGCTTTACAACCTTTATTTTTTGGAAAGAGCATTTAGTTCTGTAATGTTTGGTATGCTGCAAGGCGTGCTGGAGTACTTCTCAAACAGGCAAAAACGATCTTCCCGAAACATACAAAAACCAACCATTCTCGAGCGGTAACGAAAATGTTAAAAAGTGTAATCCCAGCGCGTCCAGATAATGTTCGGGCCGTTATCAGTTATCTAGCAGCTTCAGCAGTGCCTGCCTAGATGTCGCTAAAACGGGGACAGCCGTTTTAACGACAGCAATTTCAGTGCCGTTTTAGTGCCAGGAGGCAAAAAATGATCAACCGCGGTCGGTTCATGCAGATGCAGCGCGCAACGAGAGATAAGTTTTCCTTTGTTTGTGTTTGCGAACACCATTATTATTTTTTCTCCCCTCATCAATAACTTGCGCTGCGAATACTGTAGGTAGAGTCATAGCCTCCTCTATACCTTCTGTACCCGTCAAACGCTCCCTCGGCGACCATCGTCCTTCCCTCTCACCCACCGTGGCTTTACGCAGCATTCAACCGCGGCGCGGCGCTGCTCACGTAAAGGATTGCTATTGAATATATAAGAACAAAAGTGACAGAAAAATTTCAACAAAGAAGTACTTTATGCACCACAATAGACAAGGACGAATCAAGTGGTGCAATGGCTCCATTTTCACAACAAGAGTGGGAAAGGGCTGAGAAAAGGGTTCCTAGTAGTACATCAACAGGCCCAGATGGCATTCCAATTAGGCTGATAAAAACATTAGGTCCGAAGTCTAAGCAGGCTTTGAGAGAGGCAGTGAGCACAATAATAATCGATGGTGAAGTTCCCGATGGATGGAAACTAAGCAGGATGAGCATGATCTATAAAGGAAAAGGGACAAAGCTGACATAAACAACTACCGTCATATAACAGTGACATCAGTGGTCTACAGACTGGCGATGTAGATTATAAAGGAAAGACTGCAGGCGTGGATAGAGGATGAGGGGGTGCTGGGGGAACTGCAGAATGGGTTTCGGAAACACAGGAGGTTTGAAGACAATCTGTTCTCACTGACGCAGTGC